CCCACCTATGAAAGTTTGTAAGCCAACCACTTCATGCCTTTAGCCTCCCAATTTTGGTTATCCAATTTCTGTACTGACCACTTACATCAACCGAGTGCTCTGAGGAGACTATCATATTTTCGACATGAAGAATCTTCATTCCAGTTGGAACTTTGTGAAGTCCACATCCATAAGCAAAGTCGAATTAGGACAGGCCATCCATAAAGTCAGCAACAATATGCACCAGCTCACAGGCTCAAAATCTCTTCATCTGGTGGGGTTCTGGTCAACTCAATGTGGGTTGCCTCCCTTAGCCTCTCCAGGGTGCCCGTTGGTTGACTTTCCTTTAGACCACGGGCTCATCACAAATACTCAACAAGCCTAGAGCCCTCCTGCTAAGTCAAGAACTTTAGACCAGTCAACCCGCTCTCATCTTCTCTTTTTCCTGTAAACCAAGTCCACAGGTGTCAAACTCAGCCTCTTTATTGCTGCATTTCTCCCACATCCACTCAACAAGCAGATCCAGCTGGTCACCTAACAAGCATTTCAGCCTGTCCACAGGCTCCCTCTAACGTTAAGTCCCAGAGAGGAGTTTTCTTCACGGTTCCAGATTTTTCCAGCTTCTGACACAGACCACTGGTTCCTGAGTACTCCAAAGCACTGGGTGAGGCATATCTTTTCGAAGCTTTCTTTTGCAGCATGGCCTAAACCCATTTAATGGCTGAAAGCAAGTGGGCTTACAAGCTTTCTATTTTCATACTTCTCGTATTCTTTCCAGAAAACCAAATAAACAGGGTGGTTTTATCTGACCTCTGGCTAGCCAAAGAAAAAAAACAACCATGAGGGAGAGGTCTATTTCAACTGCCTTTGGATCCACAGGACTTTCCATCCACCGGCCTGTGATCGTCCTGCATTCCATATCATTGCATGTGCTGCTTGAGTTTGAAGAAGAATTCAGACTAATAATGGAAATATGGGCTAATTATTGAACTTACGGACTTGATCCGGACTTGGCTGGGATGTTTTACTGATGCAAAATTACTTCTTGATATAAAGTTATCTCTTACACATATATGAATGTCAATGAATTTGTTTCTCTAGTCAACAGGGTCTAACACACATGGCATAGATCGTAGGTGTAACAAAATGTGCTCCATGGTCAAACAATGGCAGACCATGATTGAAGCTCATGTGGATGTCAAGACTACCGATGGCTACCTGCTTCCTCGGTTCTATGTTGGTTATAATAAAAAACAACAATTAGATTCGGAAGAACTCTTACACACTAGCAGCTTCACCAAATCCAAAAGAAAATGATGGAAATCATGACCTGAGAAGTGTAGACAAATGACTTGATTGAAGTGGCCAATACATTGATTCCAGACGGCATTGGGAAAGACATAGAAGAGGCTTGCCGATCTGTTTCTCCTCACCAAGATGTGCTCATCAGTGAAAATGCTGAAGAAGCCCAAGTTTGAACTGGGCAGACTCAAGAGTTTCATGGTGAAGGTGGTTGTTCTGGAAAGTGACTGGAGATGAGATAGGTGATAAAGTGGAACGAGCTGATGGCTAGGAGCTACCAGTTCAAGAATCTGTTTAAAATTCAGACTTTTAATGGTGAAAAATAAAAGATCTTATTTGTGGGAGGGGGGAAACCCAAAATTCACTGCCATCGACTTGATGCCAACTCACAGCAACTCTGTAGGGCAGGGTAGAACTGCCCCTGTGGGTTTCCAAGACAGTAACGTTTACAGGAGTAGAAAGCCCTGTCTTTCTACCTCAGAGGGGTTGATGTTTCCAACTGCTGGCCTTTCTGATTGCAGCCTAACTCGAAATCACTCCATCACCATGGCTCCTAGGTCAAACATTCTGCCTTTGCTACTAGCAGAGAGGAGTCCTTGGGTGGGACATACTGTAAATGCATTTTGAAACAATCAGCCAATGAAAACCCTATGGAGCATACTTCTATTCTGACAGGCAAAAGATCATTAGGGGTCTAAATCACCTCAACCAAGTCAAAACCAAGCTTACTGCCAATGAGAGGTAAACTCACAGCAACCCTACAAGACAGTGTAGAACTGCCCTTGTGGTTTTCTAAGACCATAACTCTTTATGGGAGTTGCCTCATCTTTCTCTCAAGGAGCAGAGGGGGGTTTGAACTGCCAACCTCTCGTTAGCAGCCCAACTTGTAACCACTATGCCACCAGAGCCCCAGAAATTCGTTAACGTGGGGGGGGGTGGGCGGGGGAGTCGCCAAAGTTTAATGAATTTTTTTGGTGACAATGATATGAAAAAATAAAGATCAGTTAATGGTATGTGACTAATACATCAACAGGAACTCATAATTCCAATACAAACAAAATCTTACTTAAATTCAGAGATGTAAACATGTCAGCATGCATGTATTCTCAGTGCTTTGTACTTATCAATAAATTTTGGGGAAATGAGTACTTAACTATTTTTTTTTCTTTATTGGAAAGCAACAATTCTCCTCACAAGAAAAAGACTTAAATTAGTTTGACCAAAAAGAAAAAAAAAATAATAATAATATAATTTGTCTTATGTCATTCTTTGGGTCTACTTAGAAAGGTCCAGGATATAATTTTAATCATTGATTCCTCCCAAGATTTTACATAAGTCTTTTCCTAACCCTGCAGAGCTTTGTTATTGAGAAAATGTTGCACTTCTTATATTAATTGATGGATTCTTCTAAGTTGTCCATACCTTGCTACTATTACAATTCCCCTTACAGGCCTGTGTATTTAGTTAAACTTTAAGCCAGATGGGTGAGTTCAGTTCCAGACCTGCCCGGTGAGTAGGTAAGGACCAGGCAGGAGAAATACAAGGAAGAAGTGGGGTAGCGATGACACAGTGAGGGCACTGCACTGGATAAGACCAAGCAACGTGTGCATAAATTGTTCGAGGTGAAACTGATGATCTGCTCTATACACTGTCACTATAAATTTCTAATAGAAAGTTACAAAACTTTTTCAAAAAGTCTTTTAAAGTTCTTATTTCTTAAAAGCAGGAAACAAAAGTTAGTGGTGTATAATAATAGATGTACTGACTATATCTGCAACCAAAATCATGCCCAAGAAGTGCAATTTTTAATAATGTCTAAATGCAGGTCATGAGCTGTATCCATATACCTGAGATGATGCATCTCTGTTAACCATTTTAATATTATTTAATACAATTAATATAACATATTAAATCATAGTTAATAGATTATAAATTCGATATTTATGTTATAAAATATGATTTATGTTTTCCTTCCTCCAATACTTTCACTGAGATAATTTCATTTAGAATCTATCTTTAAAGTACATGGATGAGCTTTGATATAACATATTTTTGGACAAACCAATCTGTCGTGGAAGAAGTACATCCTTAGAAGAAAGGATGACAAGACTTCGCCTTACATAATTTGGACATGTTGTCAGGAGAGACCAGTCCCTGAAGAAAGACATCATGCTTGGTAAAGTGGAGGGGCAGTAAAGAGGAAGGCTCTCAATGAGATGGACTGACGCAGCGACTGCAACAATGGGCTCAGGCACAGGAAAAATTGTGAGGACGGTACAGGACCAGGCAATGTTTTGCTCTGTTGTGCATAGAGTCGCTATGGATCGAAACAGAGTCAATGGCAGCTAATGACAACATGTTTGGCCTGAAAGGGCATATCTTAATCACAAACATGTAGTCCTACCTATGACAAATACTTCATGACTTGTAAGATGTTAACCTAAGTTCACTTACATTAAAATTGACATTTTAAAAGCCAATATGCCACTGTTTCTTTCTAAGGGTTCTTTTCTAAAAA